CTGCTGAATCCCCCTTCAGCGCTCCCCTTAAAAGGTCTTCCTGACTAGAGGCTTGCTAGTCACTGCTATCTGAACACAGACAGCTAATTAACAAGGAGGAACTGCTCTATCTTATTAGTTGCAAGATATTAATTTTACTGTTATCTTGATCTCGGGTCCTTTCACAGTCTTTTGCCTGTTTCTTTCCTTTTGTTGCGCACTGCCATTTTCCCAGACTGCAAGGTCTCTAGAGGGGGTAATTTGTTTGTGCAGTGCCTAACACAAAGGCACCATTATCCTTCACCAAACCTCAGGTGCTCATGTAATGAAACCCCATTACAATATTGCTTTTAAGGTGGTCAAAAGTTCTCACAGCATGTTATGACAGTACACCTTACTTAAAACTCACTCACAACTTTGGAGTAATTAAAAGGGTTTAGCTTCTGTGGAAAAGAGAATAAAAAAGAAGATAAAATTCTTTAACCTGCTTGTTTTATGACCTGAAAGATCAATGGAGTATAAGGAAAATATCAACAAGAAAACTTTTTTTTTATTTATTTTGCCCTTTCCCTCCACATAATATCTTCTGATTCATATTCCTTACTTTTACTGTACTTTTATCTTGCCCCTCTGTGTCCCTGAAAAGTTTTTTTCCCCTCAGAGAGTCAACACTTAAAGGAGAATTTCTAGTTGAACATTAGCTAGAAAAAATCCAAAGGGAGAAAAAAAAAAAAGGCCTGGCTCGGAGAGCTCAATTCTGAACCCCTAATATTGACTTTTCTAGAAAGAATCTGGTATATGAAGGGTTTTATGTAAACTAACATCATTCCTTCTGCTTTCAGTGCTACATATTTACTTACAGGACAGATACATTTAAAAACACCCAGTGATACTGAGTATTAGAAGGTAAGTTTATGTTCAAACTCTGAAAATTAATTCCAAAAATATTACAGTTTATACCATCATAAGTATTGATGAGGGCAAAGTGAATAAAATACACTAAATAGCTCCTGTAATAAGAACTTAAGTGATTTTCATACTAGGAAAGAAGTGCTCTAATATAATTCTTTTTCATATTGAACTGCAAAGGGATAACTCCTTTGAATAAGATACATGACAGCGATGAAAAGGAAGTTCAAAATCCCTACTGTGAGAATTATTTGATATCCTCAAAACAAGTTCCTATTTCACTCTTGGTTGAGCAGACATTGGGGCTTTTCAATATCTTTCAAAGGGCTCTTCCAAATGTACATCTTCCAGCATTTGAAGCATTTCACATGTGCTTGAAATAACAGAGAAATTAATTTATTAAAAATTTCTGAAAGGTAGCTTTTCCTTTTAGACACCAAGCCCCCAAAAAAGCATATAGAGTAAACCTGACTGCTTTTAGCACAAATGGGTTAAAGATGAATTTGACCTAATTACTGCCTATAATAATGATTTTTTTTTAAAAAAAAGCCTTTTAATATTTTAAAAGGGAAAAATATTGAACATACTTCTGAAATTCTTCAAATTCTGTGATTTTTACATTTACACCTTAATATTTTGTCTTAAATACAGCTAGTAAAACTATAATACACAATCAAGACTGTTAAGCTGTGCTATCACTTTAAAAGCGTTTTTATTCATTGCTAATTTATAATCTGTTTTGGATACAGATCTGTGTAGCAGAGGCTGGTAACTATTTCCCTGATACAGCAGCTTTCTATACATCACATGATTTTGTGATCTGCTATCTCTTGAGAAATGCTGCTATTACATCTAAAACACCTCAGTACAAATGCCTTAAAAACCCAAAGGCTGAGTCACGGGAGCCAATGTAAATTCAGGCTCAGAGAAGCAACATTTAATGCAACAGATCTGTGTAGCAGAGGCTGGTAACTATTTCCCTGATACAGCAGCTTTCTATACATCACATGATTTTGTGATCTGCTATCTCTTGAGAAATGCTGCTATTACATCTAAAACACCTCAGTACAAATGCCTTAAAAACCCAAAGGCTGAGTCACGGGAGCCAATGTAAATTCAGGCTCAGAGAAGCAACATTTAATGCAACTTTTAGATTTTTCTTTGCACACCAAACTGCCATGATAGATTAAAGAAGACTACACAGATTGTTAAGGAGGACTTTTAGACATAAAAAGACATCAGGAATATAAAGCAAAACAGTGGTTGGTCTTGTTGATGACTGCGCGGACATCTGTCACAGGTCAAACTACCAGCCAAACCTGTCATGACCAGCAGGGAGCTATGAAGAGGAGTATGGTCTGGTTTCATTTGGCTGAGCAAACATTTTGGGAATAAGCAATACACAAAGAACAGCATACAACTCAAAGTTGCGTGGAAAAGGAACTCTCTCTCTGGCTGAGAGTCAGGGTTTTGAGGTCTTTGGAATGGAAACCTGTACATTCGATGGTTTTTGGGGTGAGAAACATTCTATCTGGAGAGTTCTTCCACTAAGGGAATGGAAACCTACAGTAAGCAGGTGTTGCTGGTGACATCTGCCAGGTCAGAAACACAGAAGGTTTTACAGACCAGTGCAGTGAGGTTATGCCACATGGGCAGAACCACCTTTGTATTACACATTAGAGAAATGAAAAAATGAAATGAAGAAATGAAAATCCTCCTGGATTTTTCTGTGTGGTAGTGATCGTTAGGAAACAGACAAGACCACCATCCGCACATTCATCTAAGACATTGCAGGAATGCTAATGTCTGAAGGATTAATAAATTATTAATATATCAGTTTGGTAAAAAAGCAGTCACAAATCAATACTGGTCCTCAAGCTTCAGTGGGACAGAAGCAAGTTCTCTCATCCTGAAACCGTACCAATCCGGTCAGTCTAGAATTTAGCAACTGTCCGAAGTGGAAGTTTCTTTCTCAATGCTCTCCTAGAATCTCTTCCAGATGATCTGGCTTTTAGACAGTCAGCGCTACTGACTCTGCCAGTATGACAGTCCCTTAGTTCACATAACGCCGTGGCCTTGCTCCCACTGGTTGATACTAAAGGCAGTTCTGAACACTTGTGATATGGGAAGGGTTGTGCCATCCTTACTAGGTGCGTCTAACACGCACTCGCAAGTGAAACTAATGTAATCTTTATGCCTGATGTTGCCTGACTAGGTGTCAGGTCTCTTTGCCTTTGACTCAGTGCCAGTACAGTTAGTGCAAAGGCTACTAAAAGAGAGGAAACCTGAACCTGCCACCTTGCTATCCGTACTGGTAGTCATGGGACTGTTTCAGAGAGATTCTCAGCTGAAAAACCAAAGGAATAGCCCACGGTCACAGCTGCACTACAACTGATGCCTTCTGTTGTTGCACTTTCAAAAACATATTTTCAAGAAATAAACGTTGTTTTCATGGACTGTTCCAAAAGAAGCAGTTTGAACTCTGTTCTTCACCTAAAATTGAAAGGAAGGAACAGCAAACAAAACACTTCAGAGACATATCCCTTCTTAAAGAGGGAGTGCATACACTGTGCCTTGTAACCTAATGGTCTCAGACTACAGCTTTTTAATAGCTTTATATGGACTCAAAGTGGTGACTCACCCTATCAACACATCCCATCACCTCAACTTTTTCAGAACTAGGGCTTATGTACTGACAGAACATGAATGGGATCCAGTAATTTCTTAAAGTTAGCTATTACTGCTCTGCTTTGCTAATGTGGTATGCTGTCATATAATGCCTTACATATATTTATAGAAGTAATTGAGTATATGCTACCCTCTAGTTACTTAGGTGACCAGTGCTCAGAAAGCGTACTGTTAAAGAACCTAACTTCTTCATGTTTGTGTCTCACCTAATGAGCCATCCATGTATTCAAGCTTTCCCACTTATGCAGTTTTCCATCTTTTCTGTATTCTTTATGACTGTCAGAAAAAGGATAGTCACTGAGCACACACTACTGACCACGCTAAATCAGGAATCAGTTGTTCAGCTCTAAGTGTAATGTGACATCCTCTTTCTAAAATAGCATGAAGATTTTCTTTCGTGCACATTTCTGGGCTCTTTTTTTGGTCCATAGCATATTTCAGGAAAAGCCTGCCTGGGGAAACAAACTAAAACCAACAACAGAGAAACTGCCACAGAAACTTATTGGAAGGCATTAAAAATTAAATAGCTTTTTAAAGAGCTCTCAGACTTAATAGTAAAACATATTAAAATTGTCTATACTGATTTAATTTGTAACAATTCCATTTCAGACAACTTTGCTTGGTTGTTGGTTAGGAGTTCAAAGTGAAAACAACATTTCTTCCCCCCTACTAATACCTGTACCCTTCTCCCATCCCAAACACTTGGCAGGGGGGTGGGGAGAAGATGACTACCACCATTTGAAGTGGTGGTCATAAGATCCAGATGAATTCAGACTGCAGGAGAAGCATGCTCCAAAATGAGAGAGTCCTCATACAGAACTCTTTTGGCAGATACTGTCCTGGCAACCAAATCAACAACCTCTAAGCACAAGAGCCTCGACCATTGTTCTTACACTGTTCATACCACAGTCTCTCAGATAAACAGATGCAACTTAAGATGCTCAATGTCAAATGGGCAACTTCAGAGATGCTCAGATGCTACCCAAAAAAATCATCAACACAATAAGCGTAACTGGAGCATGCTTATGGGAAGATACTCAATCTTCACCTCACATCCCCCAAATCATGCTCTTATGTTTCCTCACCAGTTTTATTTTCCAAACAGGTTTAAAGGCATAATGCAGCAGCTCTTGAGTGAAAGCAGAAATGTATGAGTGGTGGAAAATTACTTTCACAGTATATTATGGAACATACACGAACATCTTTACTCAAATGAGTTGAAGTTCTAAGTTTCATATGTGTAACGTCACTAAAGTCAATGGAGTTACGCATATGAAACTGAAAGGTGAGCAAGTACTCACTAAAGACAACATTTACGCCCTTGCACTTTTGAGTCTTTTGTCAACAATAAGAGCTCACATATTGTAACACATTTGTGTTTCTGCAAATTCAGTGATGAACAAATATATTTTGCAATAACATACCTTGAAGTTGCAATTTCCACTTTGGTTCTTGCCATGGCAGCTGCTCTCTGTGCACCCTCTATTGCTCTATCCACCTTTTCTCTAGTTTTTGTGTTTCGTATTGGTATAAGTTGCTTTCTTATTCCACGGACCAAAACGTTATTTTTATATTTTCCCTCTTCTTTGGTGCCATCTGGAAACATGGTACATCCATATCCATGCCTCCTGTTATTTAGCCATTCTCCTTCATATTTCATGCCATTTGAACGCTCACTAATACCAAAACCACTGCGCTTGTCATTCTTCCATTCACCCATATAGGTTTCTGTAGTGGTGGCATCAACATGGTCTTCCATAGGGCAGTAATCACAGTCACCGTCTCCAAAACTAATTGTAGAGTTGGCATCGCTAGAACTAATTCTGCTCATAGCAGCATCACTCCTGACAGAGCTCCGTTTGCTAGATATCGATGACCTAGATTCAGATTTTCTAAGTTTTATACTACCAAGAAGGGATCCTCTTCTGAATAAGCCTCCTTTTTTCTTAATGCCCATGGCTTCTGGATCACTGTGGAAATTGAGCACAAAACCTCCTCTTGTTCCAGCCGGACTGTCTGAAGTGACGTCGTGCAGAACAGTGCCGTTGCTCTGCTCACTTCGAAGTGAAGCTAGAGATGTTCGGAGGGGTGAACGGATCACAGTCGCCATGCCATAGGGTACACTCTGACGTACACCATATCCATGTCGCATCCCTCCTGTCCATTGCCCCTGGTATGTACCTTTTAAAGTAATAAGGAGAAATTAAATTTAGGAAGCTGTAGAAGACCTAGTACCCTACATCCAGTATGCTACAGGCAATACTATGTTGTCAGCTCTGTTTTTGGTAAGAAGAAATGCAGAAAAATCACAGCACATGACAGAGTAGATAAACTACTTTTCTTGCTTGTTTTTCTTATAAATTATTTTTCTGCTTAACAAAGCCTTCACTTTCCCAGCTGAAGTAATTTATTTTGGCAACTAAGACACAGTAGCTATAATCATAAGCATTTTTTGAATGGATCTGCCCATGGAAAAATTTTCAAGAGAAATTTCTAAAGCAGGACTCCCTCAACACCTTTTTAAGGCGGTCAGGTGGGGACGTGGTCAGCAGAAGCAGAGCCACGTTATATGCAGTCAGCTGGGGAGGGAGACAGGGATGGAGGGAAGGGAGGGAGCAGAACACTCATGGCTCTTGCCTCCAGCTGCTCACAGAAAGAGCAAGTAGGAGTAGTAAACGTCCTGTTATCCCGGGTTTAAGGTAACTACAGACCTCTCCTTGTCAGGACATATTTGACAATCCACCAAATTGTCTTGTCTTCAGATGGGCCTTTGGATCCACTGTTACAAACCTCTATTCTAAAATTAAACATTTTAAAGTTTTTGCATGTACTTGAATGGCAGAACAAAACCTCAGTTTATGTTACTCTTCATGAACGCTTGATATCAACACTTTTTGGTATCCCCAGTACCATAAACATGGCACTGCATTCTGCATTATGTTGTGACAGAAAGATCAGAAACATTAATCCTTTAGCACTTTTTTTGCCTTCCATTTGTTCTGCAGTACATAAGAAAGACAAGGCAGTAATAAACAGAATATTGCACACCATTCTATCATAAACACATTTCATTGTTGCAATCATAACTATTTTTGTAATTTTTTTTTTTTTAAACAGCAATATAAGGAAGAGCAACATGGTATTTGATATGAGAAGTCATGGATATCCATGTAATGGAATACATGCAAAGCTGCATCTGAACCAAAACCCAGCATTATCAGATTACTACCGCAAACAATTTTTTTCTTGTATTCTCAAAAGGCATTTTCATTTTGATGAGATACATACTCCAGCGTCTGGTCTCTGAAAGCTATTTGTACTAGATGTTGCAAAGGAAGGTGCCAGGAACCCCACAACCAGCAAATACAAGATATAATTTGCTTTCTAAAAACATTTCACTCCAATTCCCATTAAACTGCTTTAAGCTCCTCAAAATGAAGTCTCTCGCCCACCTAGCGCTGCTTTTTTTTTTTTTTAATAGCTATTTTGAGTCTGAATATACTTACAGAAGGATGAATAAGCAATCTTTAAAATATCTTTCTTTGATTTTGATCTGCTTTAACTGGAGCACCTATTACAAACTATTCTTCAGAGAACTAAATATCAAATGTCAAATTCAGTGACTGACTAAATTTTTGTGAAAATATTTGTGAAATACCTGCAGTTTTAGATGTAGCTCAAAGCTTCATTTGCTTTGAGATTCGATCTCCTTTGTATAAGCATACTATTTTGGTCGTGTACATGTCAATTATCTATCAATTACTGCTTTACTGTATTACCTCTTCTGCTAATTTATATTTCAATGTTAACATGCAATTAAATTTGCCAAGTGTGCTTTCTTTAGTCTGTAATCCTACATAGGTTCCACAACATAACTATTTTGTGTTGGTAGAAAATTCTACCAAGTGGAAGGTTTTTGTTTTAACAGATGGCTGCTGACACAAACAAACAACTTCCTTAGCTTCTTTCTCATTCTCTGTATCCTGGATACCTACTGCTGCACTGGTTGTAAGGGTGCTGAATCTAGAAACATGATTATTTTAAAAAACTCAGCATATGGAGAAGAACAAATAGAAATATGAGCACAAAGCACTGGTATGACGTATTCTGTAAATACTGCAAAAATACAGCCACATTGTAATTTTTTTCTTTATTAAACAGACATTTCCCAGAAATATATTAATATTTTATGAGCATAATTGACTACATTTTTTCCATAATATCTGGCTATGGATATTTACTGCTACATACAACAATCTGTCTAACATTCTGCACCAGTTAATTTCATTTTAAAATGAGAAATCTAATTCTGATTTTGATTATACCGCAATATTACATTAGAGCAGCAGCTCATAATTATGGCTCTCCATGTTGCTATTTGAGTGTCCGACTCGAAGTAGAATCAACTTATTTCAGCATGAAACTTTATAAAAGTACAAAAGGTCAGCCTTTTTTCTTTCTAATATCCTGATTTAATTAATAAACATGCAAAGCTCAAAAGCACTTAATTAATTTAGGACTTGTATTTTTCACTATTCTGTGGAAAGACGTGGAAGCCGTCGCTGTTGCCCATAAGGGCATTAAAACAAGGACAACTGATGGGCTATTTACTTGTCCGATTTTTCTTTCTAGTGGGGAAATAAAATCAATGCCAGCTTCTTCTAAAGAGAAAATAGTCAATGAGAAAATGGAAGATTCATAGTGAATTGGTCCTCAGAAAGTACCAAAGATATTTAGTTAGAATTTTGTGCAGTCTTGCAGGTAACAACTATCTCTTCTGTCATTACAAATCCATTAAGGGAAAGTCTTCTGATACTAGTGCTAGAAAGCTGACTCATTTTCCTTGATTTTTGCAACTCACATTTTAAAGGAAAAATATTTTAATGGCATATGGAGGACAGTGTCCAGAATGCAGATACAAGAGACTTGTACAGTAATTTGATTGACAATATCAGACTCTTAACTGTATCATCTTCAACAGAAGAAATTTTAGAAAACTTTAAATACACAAGATAAGGTATGTTAATATTGCAATATAATTAAATACTACAGCATATAAGACATGATAAAAAAAGCTTTTCCCATATATGAAGATACAAACATATGCAATGTTTACCTATCTCTATATAGATATAAATACGAATGATTTATCAACAAACACACCTTTCCCCATTTCTTACTATAATTGACTGTTCAAAGCAGTTCCAGTAAGGGTCAACTGTTAAAATTTTAATTAACAATGTAATTACCAATTTAATTTAAAACTATATTTGACCATAAAACAGTAACATTGTTCAACATTAATTTTCCAAAAGCTAGGCTTGGTATCCTTTGTAACTGAAGAAACATTCAGCCGCTCTGCTGACCATCTACCTGGTGCTTAATTGGTTCCCCTGAAAAGGTGTTCATATTTTGAGCCTGAGCACTATTAGAAAGTATATATTTTGCTTCTGTTTTTGTTGGCAAGTTGCTGTAAGGTATAATTTCCTAACCTGCCTCCTTAGAGTTACATTGTGCCATCCCTCCCAAAAAACCCTCAGTATATCTTACAGCTGTAAATGTCATTGCCTACTTGCGGCTAAAATTTAAAACTATGCTGTGTGAAAAAGCTGAGAGACCAAGGACCTATTCACTACTCCACTTGCTCTTATCCTTTACTTACATCTTCTGTGGTTTAACATATTTGTTGTTACATCAAGATTTCTGCATGCTTTTCAGACTTAGATAAGCAGACATCTAGAAAGAAGACTACTTAGAAATCAGTGAACATACGTACTACTGATGACCTTTGCTTAAGGACTCATTTGCCACTGACTGACCTCTGCGGAACGACAACGCACAACCTTACAGCAAGATGCCTGTTATTGCTATTGTTGGCAGGACCATAAACCGCTAACTAATTTACACATACTAAAGTTTCCAATTAGGCCTTACTCCCTCCGTGAAAAATGCTCCGGCAGGCTCGCAGATTCACACAGATTCAACAAAACCTAGGGAGTTTAAAGGAAGCACAAAAGTCCAGACCGCTGCAGGAAACAACCTGACAGGCCACTTGAAGGCCCAGCATAAGCCCATGCAATGAATGGAGGATGATGGTTTATAATTCACAGTGTTTTCCTCAGAGATTTGACTGACTGACAATTTTAAGCATTTAAACACAGCATGACATATATTACTCATGTCGTGCAAAGTGTATGCAGAAACACTGAGGAACACTGTCAATGCTTATGTTCCTCTTCCCTCCCTCAACGACATCTAATACCACCAATGCATTTTAAAACAACATATTGGGGAAAGGAAAAAAAAAAACCAGAAAAGAAAAAAAATAGCAGCAAAGAGGCCTGGATTTAGTGGGCTTGAAAACAAACTGGCAGTTGGCATAGTCTAAACAGTTATTTCCCTATGCTGGTATTCTCAGGTTGTACATAAAGGAAGAACTTTCCTGCAAATATTTCACAGTATGTTAAAGACAGGTATGTAAATCTGGTTTCCTTCCAAAAACATTTCAGACATTCTTCTGGTGTACAAATACAGCTATTGTACCCAGAGCACAAAAACAAAAACACATCTGCAAACACCTGTGACGTACTGCTTTGCTTCATTCATGAGTACTTTCATTAAAATCAATGGGACTTCACTCCCTCTGTTCATATGAACTGCAACACGTAAAAGACTGGGTCCATGGTAACAGATTTCAGTTAATTGGACTAAAAATCTTACAGTGTAAACTGCACACTTCATATGCTGTTTCGGACAAAGGATTTCCTGTGGGGTCTAAGTCTAAACATTTAGAGAATTTACCTCCAATTATCAGTATTATAGAGATTTTAAAAATTCCACAAGAAGCCTAAAGAAAAAGATAAAAGGAACTTTAGTTTGAGAAAATCACTCCTAGAAGATTTACTGGAACAGCAATTTACTTTTCCGGAAAGAAGAAAGAGAAGGGGGAAGAAGGGGGGGGGAAGACAGCCAGCCGCTGCAAATTCACCTATTCTTCAGCTTCTAATTTACTAGCCAAAACAAATATAATAAATATTGAAAAGTCTATTGTGTGGTGAAAGTGAAACTAAAATTCTGATCTCTTTCATGCTTTGTTGTTTGGTTTTTTTTTTAAAATCCCCAAACACATATCTCAGCTGACTTTGAGCATCAGAACTTTACACACCAGGAAACAATT